TTGAGTGCAATGTCAAGATTATAAACTAATAATTAAAATGCTAAGAGAGTATGAATGATTCGAGAATAACAAAAAATTAGTTGGTATGTGTAATAACACGGAATTGAAAGGACAATAGGGGAATTGGAGATGATAATATGAAACATACTAAGTAGTGTTGACTATGCATTGATGATAACGTGACAATTTATAAGACACGCATTAGACACATCTAGTCCAAGGGGGGGTTCAATCCGTAGATGAGCACGTATATCCAAATATTCTCTTAAAGCTATCAACTGAATCGGCTGTGGTCACTTCGGGTGCTAGGGCACTTCAAAATTGATGCTACTGCTCTTGAGAAAAAAAGGATGTTCGCACTCTGACGTGCCATCATCCGAGGGTTGCCTCAAAATGGCTGTGTCGATGATGTTCCGGTTATATGCACCTGCTAGGGTGGCTTGACGAACTTTATGTAAATATTATGATGTCAGATCGAACATTAACCTGTTACTTAGAATGAGGATCCTAAATATTGGAGTCTTTCTTACTAAGATATATAATCAAGACCAGTCACTCGCCTGATAACCCATCTTGAAAATTCTTCATAGAGTTTATGTTTTTTAGAGAGGAATAAAGAGATATTACTAAATATCAAATTTACTTGACTGGTTTATCAAACAAATTGTTCCTTTTTACCTAGTTCAAAGAAGTGGAAGTGCTGGTTGGTATGACATATGTCATGTACAAGCTAGTGAATGAAGGCTGAAAACACTGTGCTGATAATAGGAGCTATTAAAGAATAACACAATAAGTGGTCCTCTCAAGCACCTACTTGACCATTTCAATGGCACAACCAAAACGTCGTCGTGGTAGGCCCTCAAGCTTCCTTACGTTTGAAGATATAAGACTACGTGACAATTGTAACAAGTTTTATCACCAAGTATGCACGGGACTCACATTGATTGCACTGTAGAATTATGGTCTACTATGATATTAGTACTGCTCTAATAACAGACTTAATCCTAAGATTGTACATTTCCATGATATAAATGCCTAATCTATAAGATCTTATGTGGAAGTAACATCATCGTCTACACCAACTCATTGCATCGCAACAATCACCAATACATGATAGAGAACAAGCTTAGGCTATAGATAGAACAATATATTTAATATGAATAAAAGACATAGGGTAACATTCAGCAGGAACCACGCCCGCAAGGCCGGACCATGCCATCTGATCAACTCAAATTAGTTCAACTCATTGTTCCCGCCTTCTTCATCGTTAGGTTCTTCTCCGCGTTAAATATCGAATATCTATTTTTTCAGCTGTCTCGTGTTCAGCTTTGAGGATTGTGTGGTTATGGCCCAATGCTTTACAAAGCATCTGCCGACCTCTGAGGCGATCGAGCTGTTAAACTGTTGAAAAGATGCCCTCAGACAAGCAACCAACAGCAGATGGGCAGCTATCAGATCTCGAGGTAGCAACGAATGTTATCATGTCTATCCATAGATTTGAACGAAACCAACATTTCGAACCTCCACGACGTAGTGGATGACAAATACACACATGAATACGAGGAATAAAAATAAGCACACAAAGGAGATACAAGTTGAAAGGAGCTCCAGAAATGTGTTGACGGTTTCAAATACAAAACTGTATACAGATATCCACAACAGCGCAAGACAGACTATGCAGGAGCAATGCATGGACGTTGCAAAAGATTTGATTAAGAAACAATAAAGTTAATGAGTGGCTTACAATAACACCTAGAAGACCAGAGAAAAAGTCAGACCTCCACTTCTATTGCCAAATAGGAGTAGGAGATGGGAAGGGTTCATGAAAAAGCTAACTTTGAATGTGACCTAGGCCACGTTAAGCCTTTGGCATGCAAGCAGGTCCCATGATTAGTAGCAGGGGTTAACACTCATAGGCTTTATAGAAAAGGACAAAACGTGGGTCCCGAAAGTATTTAGGAAGGCCGACCCTTGAAATTCACTCTTGCTTCTGCTGATGAAATAAACCTAATACTGGAAAATTCAAGCAAACTGACTGGATCTGTAATACATGTCCAAGCGGTCCTCTGAGATGACCAAGAGAAGCAGAAAGAAATGGGCACCGCCGAATTGATAAGACCTTATGCTTGAGAGTTTTCACATTGTAAAACTATGTATGCTACACACATGCTAGAAGCTTATTCATTAAAATGGTGGAGCTCGGAACCATGGTGAGTACAAAGTACCGTGACGTCATGATCATCACAGAAACATGATTAACATCAAAAGCGCATTACGCTGAAACTCGATTACTTCTCAATGTTGCCGGCAGACTAATCCGTCGAGGTGGTGGGGTTGTCACGTACACGTAAATCACCTCAACCACACGAGCCGTCGAGGCAGTGACATACAATTCAGGAACATGTAAGCTAGAACGCAGCAGGTTAAGATAATAAAAAAGGCAAGATATTCAACGTAGGCCTAGTACATCTCTGTCCAGATTGAGTAGTGAATGACTTCCCCCTAAGTAAATTCAGACCCTGGTCGAACAGGTCCAGAAGCTTTATAGTTGGTCACTTTGATACACCATCTACAAATCGAGGAAACTTAGAAGTAGGGACATGAAAAACAGTGCCCGATTGAAAATTGTTGGAAATCACATTTGTTTGGCTTTATTCCAGCACATTGGAGATCCCACCAAATATGACCTACAAAACTCCGCATTTCTTTGACTTAGTCTTCACACACTGTGATGATGTCAGTCAAGCGAAGTTCCTCTCACGTATGGTGAGAAGTGATAATGTGGTCATCTTATTCAAGTTCACGGCTGATATGGTCTATCAAGCAGTTGCACCGGCACGTCATAACATATAGTAGGCAGACATGAAAGCGATCAACTCTTCAGCCTCGGCTGAAAACTGGCACGTTGACCCCGGCACGTCAGTAGGTGAGGCATGAACTCATTTCCGGCAGTTAAACAACCTACTAACTCAGTCATTTATATCCTGGCCGTCACTGTCAGCACTAGCATAGTAAATACGATGGAACGTTACAGGTCGGATTGAAATAAGTGACTTTGACCGGAACGATGTACAAAAGGCCCTAACACTACTTATGGAAAACTTAACAGAGCCAGATGCACTACACCCTGAAATCTTGAGGAAAATTAGACGCTATATTGCTATCTCACTGACTACGATATTCAATATGTCACTTGACCAAGGTGAGCTGACTATGACTTAGAAGGGTACACTTGTCATTCCTATTTACAAAACACGACCAAGAAAACTCCCATAAATTCAACGAATTATCAACCTCACCAATATCGTGGACAAAATACTACAAAGAATCACCAAAAAACCATAATAACGTTCGTGAGAACTAACAAATTTTTAGACAGCAAAAATGGTTTCAGAAAAGGACTATCTTGCACAAAAAACCTAATACCGAGAGAGAAATGGACGGTTGCTAGATAGTGGAGAATCAGTGATTGTTATCCACATATACTTCAGTGAAACATTTGATAAGATGCCCAGTGGCAGACTCCTCTTAAAACTGGAAAGTCTAAGAATCCCCAGGCCTATCTCAAAGTTAATAAAGGATTTCTTGCTAGTTCGTGGACAGAAAGTAAAGACCTTTTTCAAGTATTCTTCCTATAAACCAGCACTTGGTGAAGTACCGCAAAACTGCCCTGAGTTCTCTACTATTTATACTGTATGAGAAGTGAACTCCCAAGTATGATTTAACCCTCGATGCTACTTGACGCTGACGCAGAAAGTTGGAGATAACAGGAGACACAGATGCGTGAGTACTGAAGGGGGAACTAGATGTTTTAATTAGCTGGGCTAAAAAATGACTGATACTTATGGGCGTGGCTACATGCATCTACGTGAACATAAGGAACACAAAAGTAAGTAGGTGGAGCATAGAGGAAGAGTCAGGACCTGTATTCCGACCTCAAAACGATCTTGGGGTAACAGTGAGTTATCATCTTAAGACAATGGACCACTGCCGTACGGCTGTAGGTGAGAAGTTCGGAACCATATGGGCTTGGAGACGGACAATAACCAAGTTAGACACTAATAGTTCCAATACAATGTACACAAACTTGAAAACTGAGTCCAGGCTGCAAGTTCTGTTTAAAAAGTGGCTCCGATATCTTGGGAGAAATTGAGGAAGCAGCTAATCATGCAATTCCAGGATTTATTATACACAGAACGGCACGACAAGTTAGACATATTTACTCCGTTCTACCGCAAACTAAGGGGCTATCTGATTTTGATGCATAGAATACTTGGATGTGATTATGAACCTGACATATTCTCTCCTCTTCCTACCAGGTCAGGACAACTCAGAGAACATAGCAGGCGAGTGCTATAGCCAACAACGAACAAAATACCCGTGACATTCAGGTTCTCACACCGAGTCATTAATTCTTGGAACCTGTTACTGGAAGAAGTGGTGTCCACTCATTTGACTGACTCATTCAAGGAAAGACTAGACTCAGAAGCTGACTAGTAAAGGACTAATACAGGTTATCGGTCTTCTAACCTGAAATCTTATCTCCACAATCAAGCGCACTTCCTATTCTGATTGAGATAAGACAATTACTTGTTTCTATCCTGTTTTTGTTACTGTGTCATATTTTGTTAATTACTTTAGTTTTTTATTTACTCAGCCCGTAGTATCTCGTCATATCAATTTCACCGTGCTTAGGTATGTGCAATCGGGAGAACACTTCACAATCTCGGACAGCAGTGGCATACATCGGAAAAGATGAAAACAGAAGATTGATAAGAAGAATACTAGAAATAAGATTTCGTGATGATCAGGGTCTTATTGAGTTATGTTGGAGGTACGTGGATGAGTGACACTTTTAATTAGCGCATTTACACATATACTGTCCGAGATATTGCTGTAGACAACGAATTAAATAACCATAAATACAAGGGATAAGCAAACGAGAGGATTGTCTTGTCTGGATATCTAAACTATATTTGTATGTACAAAATAATTCTTTTTTCTTTTATTTGTCCAGTTAAAAAATGAAAAAGTATATCCACATTCCCAGACCGATGGTGCCCAATGAGAACCTAGAAAAGAAGAGGTTCTTCCTATTAATGGATGAAATATGGAGATATGTTTGCAGGTGAATAGGTGAATGAAAATCAAGAAATTATTGAAGAGAAAGTTACTAGATCAATCCATTATTCCTAGTTTAATTTTACTATTAAGCCACTTCGCATGATACAGTAAATTTTTAGTGATAATTGAAGTCATGATCAAACCGAAGTATAATCGGCTCTCTTAATGTCTGAAATTACACATATACAGCATCATCATAAATTAAGTATTATACTGTAATAACACAGAAAATGGCAAACAGCTGTTTCAGAATTTAGTATACGTTTTTACACGGCCTAAGACCCTACAGGCTAGCAACTTTTCATATCTTCAAAGGTCAAATAGTCTCTGGCCTACGACAGCTCATGTAAACGAACGGTTAGTACCAACTCTTTGTTGTCGAAGTTCTCTAAACTGTAAATACTTCATCGGCCGAAATACACTCTTGTAAAGAGCATACCACCAATCAAAACTATAAAAAAGAACAAACTGAACTTATAAAAGCCTGCAAAATGGCACGAAATTTGTAGGAAAAGTCTTTAAAATAACGCTACTATTATTTTCATTATCACATTTAATTAGGTGTATAATCATGAACTGAATTAAATTTTCCAATTACATCTGAGTCTAATCATTGATTGGCATCCTGTAAATACACATATCAAAGTTGATAGTCGTGGAGACTGTCAACTCTGATACCTGCTTGTAAGATGCTATCTCGAAGTCAAGATCGACTACGTACACCATAGGAATGTGTCATCTTACTTCCGGTGTATAAATTATTTTGTTTATAAGTTCGTTGAGCAGTATGGAGAAGCTTAATTTGTAGTTTTTCATAGTGGAATAAACGATGAACGCAAAATATTTAACACGATATTTATTTCTATAAATCACATCATCACTGATTGTTTCGGAATGAGGAAAAATCCCTTAGTCGCATAGCATAAAGTGTGGAAACCTAGATTGATTCGCATTTGAATTAGATCCTGTGTTGTTTATGACAAATTGACTAACTGAATATAATGATTAGAGGGGCGACATAGTGGTTAAACTACTCAGCTCTCAATTAACAGACCATGAATCTAAACCCCATTCTGCTTACTTCATTCTAGACAGCTCTTATGCAAATAATATGGTTCAAAGTCGAGTAACACAAACTATACTTGATAAAAAGGCAACACGATGTAGTAATAAAACATTCCAAAAATACAATATTAGAAAAGAAAATCACATTGGAGCTTACCAAGTGAAAATATACGATGCATGTTCATTTCGTAAAACAACTCGAGTTTGTCCACCGATTGGCCCACCAACAGTACTAGACTCTAAAAAGTATACGAATATAAAAAACTATTCCAATCTTTCGTTTTGAATAGAAGGAAAATTTTATTATCAATATTTTCAGTTATTTTACACAACTATGTATGGAAATTGTTATATTGTCTTTGTAAAATACAGTAAGATATATATACCAAGTGAGGCTAGTGAACCATTCTAACCTTATGTCTTTGTTTGTTTAAGTGGAATTGTATTAATAAACTAATTTTTACGAATATCAGTCACTTCTTTACTCTCAACATTTGCTTATAAAGTTGATACTATGGTTGAAAACACTTTGGACATTATGCATTAGTCTAATGATCAAAATGAGTACGATTAACAGTGAATAAACGATAGAGGTTGCATTAAACAAAACTCATTTTTACACATTTATGATTTTTATTGTCAGTAAACACAGAGTTCGTAAGCATTAATTCAAATTGGAAGCTACCATTCATGATGGATTGATATCAATTAAAGAACAATTGGAAAGCAAGACCTAGTAGATAAATAATTTGTCCTTATTTTGGATTCTATTAATTTGAGTTCAGGATCCTATAAATGATCAGAAGCAGAAATTCTAGGTTTTTTTCGAGGCCTCTGAGTTTGTATATTACTCGACCAACATAGAATGTCGACTTTTGTCATCGTTTGCGATGAATTATTTTTAATAATAATAATGATAATAATAATAATATTAATAATAGCCTAGTAAAGTGACGAAATAAACTATGTCAATGTTGCATAAAACAAGTTTTAAAAAGCACAGACGGTGAACGACCTTTGAGCGGCGCCAAAGTGACCTTGAAAGTGTCAACCTACTTACTAGGACTAAATGGTTATAATGCAGTTTGAGATTAAGCATTATGATTTACAGTTGATGGTTAGGCTTAGAAATTAGATCCACGGTTTTTCATCACGAACTGACATCAGCTAAAATCCCAAAACGCTATTTGGCCAAATGGGTGAGTGAATTTCGCACAAAAATCCAAGACCTGTTATCCTAAATCTGATTGATTCGTCTACAATTTTTGTCTCACCACTAACAATACTGATGGTCAATTAACCGTTTAGCATATTTGTCTGCTGATCACAGTAACAGTTCAAATAGATCCTAGGTTTTACACATTTTACTTTCTCAACCAGCTGTCTTTTGGCAGTTGGGATTATGTAACTAACGACATTCATTTCCGATTCCTAGAAACTTGTCACTACACACTTTCCAGTTCTCTCTTATGATATAATCATATCGTTAACCTTCAAAATAATTAACTGTAAGTACGATTTTATAGTTATCTCAAATTTATTACCATTTTTCTCTTATTAGTCTATCTCAGAGTGGTTTCCTAACTTAATTAATACCTTCCCATAAATGGGATAGGAAATATATAAATGGGAAAAATCGACGAAATAAATTTAGAACATTATGTTATGGGATTTTTATCCAATACTGCTCGATTTTGAGTGATTATCTAGATCGGTTCCTGATCTAAACCATGTTCTAGCCTTACTGATATTTATAGAAGGAAATGAAAACTGTATGGAAAATAAAAATCTGAAACTTAGAAAATGTTTATCCCTAATATTTCATTATTTTTAAATAAATAAAAAATCATTAGGATGAATTTACATTTTATAAAAGGAAAACAAAATTACCGTTCATCACTTACCATAATCAGCATCAAGGAAAATCGGTAACGTTTTCAAATCATTAGACATTTGATCGATTTGTCGACAAGAATAACGAATATGTGGATTTTGATTTTCATAATCCAGACAAGTAAGAGGTTGAATCTTTGAACCGAATATACGAATTGGTGCCTAAGAAAAGTATTAGGTTATTAAAACAAAACAAAAATTGACGTAATTGAGTCACGAAGCTTTTTCCCAACTTCTTTTACAACTATTAGGCAAATTGGAGTGCGCTAACAAGTACAACAGGCCAGTACCCATATTTAAAATTAGTTGATCAAAATCTGATCAGCACTAAATAGTAGAGAACATTAACACTGACTAATATCCCATAATACTAAACAATTATAAAAGAGATCTTATTAGGTGTGTACATTATATAAATGAACCTAATAGTTGAAATGTTACTGATGTTCGCAAATTAAAAGTTATTAAGTGAAACAAAAAAAAACAGGGAATAAACTTTTGAGCGTTTGATACAGTAATTTAAGTCTGTCAGATAATATCATGGAGTTTAAAACAGCAGTTGATGGGCCTACATATTATATATATAGTAAAATTACCTTTTCTTGATACCGTATATAACCTGACAGTTCTATGACACCCTTTACCTAAAATTTATGAAAAAATACATATGTATCACAATAAGTAAATAATGAATTTTCTTTTCAATGAATGTACTTTAGCTTATGATACAGAGTTCTGAACATAACAGTAAATAAAAGCAACATACCTTACGAAGTGAGGATAATAGATAAAGAAACAGTGAGTGTTAATAGGACATATTCTTAACTGTCCCGTGTTCTGATCACGTCCCAAATCGTGATATACTGACTAGTTTATTTTCAACTAAATAACGCTAGACAGTAGGAAAAGTAATTGTCTGTAGGAAAACTAAATATAGATTTAATGGGTACTGTTTAGCTAACAAATCCTACTTTTTTGAACTCATTAGGAACGCATACTAATGAACTCAAGCAGGATCAAACCAAAAAACCTATAGAAATTAAGTCGGGTATGATATCGCTTAATGAAAATCCAGTGTTATATCTCGAATCGCAGTCAATAGCATGTAATATATGATGTTTATTCAATTGGGATCATGAACCGATTGATGTTAGACCACCATTAAAAACATAGAAGTATTGGACGGCCGTTTCGTCCTATTTTGGGACTCCTCAACAGTGCGCATCCACGATCCCGCTCACGGGATTCAAACCCAGAGCCTTCTGCCTCGCGCGCGAACGCTTAACCTCCAAACCACTGATCCGGCATCCAACGGTGTTAAAGCCTAACCCCAACCAATCCACGAAATTGCGCGACCATCTTTCAATATTCTAAGGTAGATACCTGTATCTACCCAACACGAATTAGCTCCACTGGTCACGACGAGGGCCCTTGGTTCGAATCCCGTGTGGATGAGCGCTGCCGTTCAGTGCTTCCAGATTTTCAATAGTGGTCTAACACCGATCGGCTTATGATCTCAATGAAAAACCTAATAATCTCTACCATCTCAATCTTCACAACCCCATACTTGATATTCATTCAATGTCGTATACCAGACGTGGTTAGCTTATTAGCTCCTACTTAATTATTAACTCATTCAGAAACTATTTGGGGGCTAATCACTGTTAAGGATACGACTATTGTTTCAAGGTTTGATAAAACTTTAAGGGATTATGGGTGCACAATGCTGAAGAGTTTTAAATTAGGGCGAAATATTTCTATGCTTTGTAATAATTTAATAATTGGCGTCAATTATTGGAGGAAATGATCCTAAAACTATAAATATTCATGACGCGATGAAAAATGATGACTACCAAAAACTCAACTCTCCACCATATTATAACGCAATCCGTCAAAGCAGGCTGGCATCAGTGCTTGAAGTCACTAACTTCTAGTCTGAGCCATGTTGGTAGATGCAGACTACTTGGTTGGGGTCCGCGTGACTATCGTAACCAATGGTTGTAGACTCTTAGTGACATGGCTCAGAATCCATCATAATGACGTCGGTGTATACACCCTCTGTCTTCCTTTAAACCAAGAGATTAAAATCGCTTCATATCTTTCTTTCTACTAACTAATTCTTTCGTCCTGTACTATATCCGTATTGCAATCTTTCTTTTATATATTACCACTTCTGAATTAACCACTTTATGAATCCAGTGTTCATCTTGTTGTGTTAATGAGGTATGGCAACTTGGACCGATGCATATATGTGCCTGGTCCTACGTTGTAGCTGACTGACTGTCAAGGCAGGCTAAAGTGAAGGGACATTGATTGTTTAGTGACCTTTATTTTCAGAATTTATCATTTAATTGAGAAATGACAGAGCTTATGGGCATACTACTTTGATCAAGTACTATGTACATGGATGTTAGTTTTAATTAACTTGTACATCAATTCGCATGGTTACTCATTCAGTAAATAGTTTTTTAATCTACCTGATTGGGAGTTGAGGATCAATGTCGTGAGTAAATTGACAAACTAACCATCTAAATTATTTCAGTATTTTAGTAAAAATGATTGAGCCATTATAATATTGAAAAATGAGACTCTAGATCGACAAACCACGAATTCACTCAGTGTATATAAAGTGAAAAGCTTTTGAAAATTAGTCTAACCTGAAATTAGAATAAAACTGATGAAGGTCAATAAATCTGTTACGTTGGGTTAACAGAAAGGCAGGGAAAAAGTAGCAAACTGAATTACACTTTGTTAGTAAACTGCCATGAAGAAATAAATTCTTAGACTAATCATTAATTACCTGACCATTAGGTCGAATGGTAGGATCACGTGCACCATATGGGACCCATCCACGGTTTACTAATATGGAGGTTCTAAAACAGATGTTAATTAACTAATCAGAAAGATAGGGAATCGATTCCCCAAAAGTTCATTTTTTTACCCAGGTCTATCTTCTAAGAAAAATGGTGTTACGATAAAATAACCAGAAACAGATGGACGAGCCATATTCGCCTGCGTATACTTGTTTGGTGATCTCACTACCCATTCGCTTCCATAGCCTTTAGAAGGTATAAAATCTTCAATCAATGAGCGTGGTCCAATTACTACTTCTCGTGAATGATCGAAACAACCTCGAACCGAGATATGAGTGAACTCAGGAAGCTGAATGCTAGAGTCAACACTAAAATTGCGAAAATATGATTACATTTAAAGGAGAAAAACAAACTTCTTAGGCAATTGAATAGGCTTAGCAGGAATCCTTGCGTTTAGTTTTCCAATCAAATCAATTTTCCACCTTCTTCTATGTATCTGCCAATATCCTAAAGCGAATGCAGTAGCTGGAAGGACCTGAAACAAATTGTCAAAAAATCACAAATATATAATGGGACTTTGTAAAATCTAGCATACACACCTTTCGTATACAACAATTTACAGGAAAGAGAACACAACACTTCTTGTAAGGTTACATATATACAGGACTACTAAAAGATGCATAGTTTTTGTGAGTAATACAGTAAAGAATTTAGTGATCACATGTAGAATTAGTTGTCCAGCTATGAGGCAAATTTTTGTAGTGAGAGTCAATAACATTGTCTGATTGTCTTGATCGAATCACGTAATGGGTGTTAATACATGGTTTGATGGTCAAGAGTCAAGCATGGATTTTTGATTTAATGGCTTAACTTCCGGTCATCTCAAAATTATTTGGGCTACGCAACTAAGTACAATACTAGGTTTAACTAGATACAATTGACCGAGAAGCACCAGGAACGATGACGAAATGCATGTAAGGTAAACTCAGAAAATAGACTTAAATATGATTATTGGGGTTGAATACTTTCACTTCCAGAATCAGGTGCGTGGACTGATTTGCTCAACTTATCCTCTCTAAAAAGCAAATAACTAATGGCTGGACAGTTACTCATCAGTACTAAAACGTTAAATATAGCTCTCAAGAATTATTTTGCTGACTCAGACCAAAACGAGTAAGAGTGAACTGCTCTTCTTAACATAGTATAACAACCAGTGATTTTATGAACAGACGCACTATCTCGATTTGAGTTTCCTCGGTCATTTTCTAACCTAACTTCTTAAGCCATGTTACACAGCCCTAAGTTGAACGAACGTTTCGCAGCAGCACTGAAATTTTATCAGTCAACAAAGCAAGAGAATTATAACTCCAAAAAGACCTAAATAGGTTGATGCACCTAAGTGCTCGGTCATGATCTGTGTATCAGACAAGAGAAAATATCTTTGTTTGTGAAGAAATACAGAATCTTGATCGATCAGACTGTTTGCCAGTCGTTTCCATTTACATACAAATATACATATTTCAGATGTTTATTGATATATTTACGAATAAAAGCTGAGAAAATATGAGCATACAAATCCTTAACTACACAAAAACAAATCATTATCTTGTAAACAGTAATAACATACCAACAAGGAATAAGTGACCCACGTACGTCGTTTCTTCGAACTAGTTGGAAGCATACTATGATATGAATGACGACAGCTAGTGAAAGCATAAGCCAATCTTATTGATTTAAGAGAAAACATAAGTGCTGAAACATAATGGTAAATGACTGGTTATACGTGACAAACCACAAAAATTTTATGACATCGAATAGCAATGAAAATGTTTGCATGATAGGTTACCTTAGGTGGAGCGATACATTAGTTATTAAGTCACATGCTACAGCCCCACGCCACCTACTCTAGGTTAGACAACTGGGTAGTATCATTAGCTTCCATAATTAGAATCTGAATTAAAACAGAGTACGCGGACCTCTACTTGGTAAATAATTTAGTGAAAAACAAGGTCGTTGTGAGGACTACAGTTGTGAAGATTTCCTGTTTTGATTAGACAAAACCCTGACTGTCAAAATCGATGAATAGCAAAGTAGTTGACAGATGAATGCAATGATATAGTGTGACCGGGTGACGGCTGCTCACAAGACTGCATAATTGGCTTAGGCCCCCGAATGATTAGAAATAAAAAAAGACCACTAGCCAGATGAATTTTTCTCATATAATAAAATAACATGCTAATAAATAGAATATGGACATAAAATTATTTATTTGAACACATAAATATTGGTACAAGAGGGCACCAAATACATATGCGCCCCAAAATGTCCTGGTATGGCCGAGAGTGGGGTGGGCTCGCCCTCCCTCTCGAAATGCTCTCACACGGTCACGCCTATACAGCATCTGTCAGGGAAGTCCTACTCACCGCCTTCTCGTGGCGGGGGTGTTGTTTACGAAAATGAGAGGACAAAAAGCGAATATCCGGCGCTTTAGCCGGATCTCAAACTAATGTTGCACATGGGCTCCAGTATCCTGCGGGAACAAATGGCGTATGAACCAATCGCTGGTCACCAGCTACCATGGGACTGCATCTCCTCACGATGCTCCACTGCCTTGTGGGTCGAACCTTAAGGTCAAAGGCTCGGGGTGTGGCCCCCTAAGAAAACCACCTGCTTCGGTCTGGGCACCCGGGCAGTATCACAGCCCACACACAATTATGATGAACTGTCTATTTATGGACATAAAATGAAAATAATAAAATGTCATAGGCTTTTAGGTCACTCATTTTCAATCGACTAAGACCTGAATATTGTGCTTAATCTTTGAACATTGCACCACTGTAGGATATCTTCAGATCAGGAACATAGTCCCTAGGAATAGTGTACCCAGGCAATAGTTTCTGACATGAAAGTAATGGGCTTGAAATATAGGTTATTTCACAATCCGTTACAGGGTGAATTGAAACAGCAAGAAAGAGTAATTATATTGACTTTATCATCGGTAGTTGTGTTATTTACAAATTTTTGTTCATACCAAAGCGTCCAGTTAACTATTCGAATAAGAAGTTTTATATATACGTAGCAGAAACAGATATATAAGTTAAAATACACGGTAAGCATTTAGCAAAACGGGTAGCCGGATAGCAATGACAAAAAGGAAAGATACTTTAGAAACTTTGGAGTTTCACTAAAACAGAAACTTGAGAGTTACATCTTGGGTCCACCCACCAGGATTATACAGTAATTTTGAGTCCCCATAGGCATAAAAACTAAATATAATGAGTGGTTGACATCCACTATGTTATGACATTTTACCGTACGCCGACTGAATTTTATACTCTTGGGTCATGACACAGAAAAACAACTCCGGTTTTCTGACTGAGTTTACCCTAATGAATCCAAACACTCGACTACTGTAACCACAAATTGAATTGAGGCATTCAAACAGACTTATGTATTCTTACTGAACGTTCAGCGATATTGAGTCCTTGGTTCCTGAAAGTGAAATAAAGTTGGTTTTGAATTCCAATGATTAATCATCTCGTTAATTAACGAAAAGCCGATAGCCACTTTACGTGACTGTTGATTAAATTTCTTTCAGATACGAATCAACTTATATATGGCTACTAAGCTGTTAAATGTAACCTATAGCTAGGAGTTTGTGCTGGTGATGTCGTTCAGAAGAACGATGAAAGCTCCACGATCAAACCATCCAGCTAAGAGAACAAAACTCCATCAAAAGTAACCTAAAGCTGTTTACAGACTTTTATAATACAGGATAGAATGTTAGGATTAGGTATTAGGAGGTAGGCTGCAGTTTTTAGCGTATTTAGGCGAGAAGCAGACAGTTCTGTGTAAATTTAGGGGGAAAGTCGATAATTCAAAGTAAAATCAATGACATGTCACTGCCTATGGCGACAAAAAGGGGAAATGTAGCACTATTTCCACACGGCACGCAACAAAAGTTTCTTTGGTTTGCTTAGGCATGAAGTACCTAAAGACTCAATCTACCTTAACAGCAGGTACGTTTAGTAATTTAGCGTATACGCTAAATATATATGTACCGTTCAAATTCACATTTTTCAGTCTTCAGTCCTCAGTAATAAGGATAGGAGGTCTATTGACCTATATTAATCCTTGCAGTTTGTGATACTGTGGAGGTCCAACCTCGTTTTGAATATATTAACAGACGTGCTGATATTACGTGTTCCGGTAGAGAACTCCAGTAATTCACTACTCGGTGCGAGAAACGGAACTCCAGACGTAAACGGTTTGATTTCGGTCTTTGAACTTTCTTCGAATGTCCTCTCAAATGATCGGTTCTAGACGGATCGATATTTTCGTTGACTACGAACACTTTAGGAATCAGTTTTCATTTAGCAATAACATACAAGTTAGGAATATATCTCTGCACTTCAGATTTCGCTGTAACGTTCAACCTTCGGTAGGTCAGCGCTTAGCCTGAAGATACTTCAAATGGTTCAAATGGTTCAAATGGTTGTGGACGGAATAGAAGAAGCTTTCGCTTAACAGGCTTCCGTGTCTAGTAGCAGGGGATCACCAAATCCTCCAGGCAGGAACCTAGGTATGTTAACAATAAAAGAGGAAAAGAAATTGGTAAATCATAGTGCGATGCTGTCCTTGGTCCTTAAGAATAGGTCAAGTTGCCTCTTGAAGGACTCCTGAGAAGTCGCTTGGACTAGCTCGGCCGGCAGCGAGTTCCAGCTTTTGACAACTCTTAAGGAGTAGAAGTTGTGTCTACATTCCGTCTTGCTATGTTGTGTTTCCAGTTTCTGGGTGTTACCCCTTAGGTTATTGTTCGAACTAAGCTTAAGTAGGTGTTTAAGAGGATGTCCAGAAGTGTTAAGAATACTATAAGCCATTAATAAATCACCTCTAAGACGCCTATATTCTAGTGGGTAAAGGTCTAGTGAACGGAGGCGTTCTTCGTAAGGCTTAGATTTGAGTCCTCGAACTGATTTCGTGGCTCGCCGTTGGATACGCTCCAAAGTGACCTTATCCTTTTGGAGTGAGGGGGGAGTACTATGTTTCCGTACTCTAAGTGGGGACGGATGAAAATATTGTAGCGGTAAATAAATCCCCAAAATAAATAGCACTAAGTTTTCGACATTGGATGCTGACCATATGTTTTAGTGGACTCACCTAGCTGAAGGCTCTCGGTCAGGCATCCGCACCAGATCACGTGTGGTAACGCCGTGCTCAACATCAACCGCAATCGCTAGCCAGATTAGATCAGAGAATTCCGATATATTGGTCATCGCCAAATATACTCTTCCGATCTCCTCGACTCTGTCTTTTGATTTCTCTGGGCGGGAACGAAATATATTAGAAGGTGTTACTGGTAGAAGCGTTGTCAAACACTGAATACCTGTGACATCATCATTGGTGAAACCGACGTGATCTGGTACACCTAATTGCAACTGTGAGTCTGTTCCTTTTTGGGATTTTTATATATCATTGCCTTATTTTTTATTTTTTAAAACATTGTGATTTTTTTCTCGTGTTTTTTCCTGGATATATATATTTCCCCTGGTTCATTATCGTACTTCATACTTCATCATGACTGAACAGACACCTAAAGTACTCAAGCTTAAGACTTTGTCCCCACCTTCGTTTCAACTGATGCCTTTCTGGCCCGACAACATCGAAGCCTGGTTTTGCTACGCAGAAGCCGACTTCCGCGAGCACGGCGTGATCGACACACGTGCACAATTCCTCGCAGTAGTCAAGGCACTACCGCGCGAATTCAACAGGTACGTAACACCTAGTATGTTTACTAGTGATGTTTCCGATCCTTACGAAATCTTAAAACGCCCGATTCTTAAACGAGGAGACCTAACCGATCGACAAAGGTTAGATCAACTCTTCAACAATATCGACCTGCAACACGGTTCTGCGACGGACATGTTGCAACAGATGAGAGAGGTAATAGGCCCAAGAACTTTCGACGAAGGTCTATTCAAACAACTCTTCTTGTCAAAACTTCCCCAACAGGTGCAAGCAGTTCTGGTCTCGTTCCAGAACAATGCCTTAGACGAGCTAGCTGCATCTGCCGACCGCATATTAGAAATTACGAAATCTACTACCGAGGTATTTTCAGTCAAAGAAAAACCTCAAACAACTCAGAATGATATAAACGACTTATGTCACACACTCACGCGTTATCTTAGTCTTCGTACCGACCGTAAGAGATCGCGCACACCACGTAGAAGCATTTCTCGTAAGCGATCTGTCTCTAGACCACGAGAGACAGATAACCCCGACTGGTGCTGGTATCATAACCAGTATGGAAAGTTTTCCAGAAATTGCAGAAAACCCTGCAATTTTCCCAACACGAAACCGACTGATTCGAAAAGCAATTCGGGAAACTTCCAAGCCGGCACGCGTTAACGGCAACCGTAGCCGGCGAACAAAGCCGTCTGTTATTCGTCACAGATGTGACAACGAGAGTTCGCTACCTCGTCGACACTGGCGCAGAAGTTAGCGTTCTCCCAGCAAATCCTAACGACCGACTTCACGAATCGACCCTAAACTTACAGGCGGCAAACGGAAAACCGATCGCTACGTATGGCAAAAGGTACGTTTACCTTAACGTGGGTTTACGCAAACCCATTCACTGGATTTTCGTTGTTGCTGATGTTTCTATGCCAATCATTGGTATGGATCTTCTACAACATCACAATCTGATCATCGACACGCGCGAACGGAGGCTAGTAGACGGAAACACTAATTTGTCCGTTTGCGTAACTTCTGTTACTGGTTGTAGAGTATCCCCAGTCACAGTTAAACATATGATAGACCCACTCTATCAGCCACTTCTCGATAAGTATCCTGGGATACAACAAACGCAACCGAGATTACCGTGTGTAACCAGCAACGTTACACATCACATCACGACTACAGGACCACCTGTATTTTCTAAAGCACGACGACTAGCTCCTGAAAAGCTAAGGTTAGCGAAAAACGAATTCGATCACATGATGGACTTAGGAATCATACGACCGTCAAGTAGCCCATATGCATCTCCATTGCACATGGTCCCTAAAAAGGACAGCAACGATTGGCGTCCAACTGGTGACTATCGGCGATTGAACGCGAAAACCATTCCCGATCGTTACCCGTTGCCTCACATTCACGATTTGACAGCTACCTTGAAAGGTACAACTGTCTTTTCGAAAATCGACTTGATTAAAGCGTATAACCAAATCCCTATGGCTACTGACGACATACCGAAAACAGCTATCATAAC